TACTGTCATGAGTCACAGTGAACATTTGTAAGCATAAAACTCTTTTAAAAAATGAGTGTTTCTGCAGAAATATTCGAAAGGGTACTACAATCTCTAAGGTGTAAAATGTGTGCCTTTTTTCTTTTTGTCTGACTGCTAGTATTAAGGCAAAAAGTAAGGAAATCTGTTTGTTTTTAGAGGTCTGGACTCTAATTGAACTTACTTTTGGTTCAGAATGACTGAATATATGTTTCTCAAAGGAGCCTCTAATTCAAATTAATTACTCATTTTTTAAATAAGTATATTTGTATAAATACCATTAAAAAACTATTCAATCTAAAAAGAAAAAATTATAATTTTATTACTGAAGTATCAAAATCTTATAAGGATGTTAAAGTCAGGAATTAAATCTTTAACACAGAATTTTTATAAATAATAATAATTAAAAACAACAGCTGGTGGCTAATATTTACCATGTTAGAAATTTCATTTGCATTCTTTAATTTTAACTCTAGTGAGTTGTAGTTCCATTATGACTCTTCATCAGAATTCAAACTGTCTTTTACTTATCTGTTTATACATTTTGAAAAATATGACATTTTAACTGATGTAGATCAACATGGAGTTTTGATACCTATATACATTATAAAACACTTAAATCTGGTTAAACATATCTATCTCTGGAATTCTCTTAAAAACTTTTAAAATTTCATATGGAAAGATTAATTTTAAGTATTCAGTCCAACAGTTTTTTATGCAATTAATTAAAAAGTCTACCAGAAGACCCCCTTGTGCCTCTTTTGATTATTTTCTGCCCGCTTCCAACATTATGGATTAGTTTGCCTATTTATAAAATAACAGCTTTACTAAGATATAATTCACATACCAAACAGTTCATCCCTAAAAGGGCAGAGTTCAGTAGTTCTTAGTATATTCGGAAAGTTGTACTCAAATCACCACTAATTCCAAAATATTTCCATCTCATCCCCAAGAACCACCATTCCCTTGAGAAAATCACTCCCCATTCTCCACTCTCCTGACCCCTGGCAGGCAGGAATCAGCTTCTTTTGATTTGCTTTTCTATGACATTGCATATAAATTGAATTATAAAATGTGTCTATTTATATTTGGCTTTTTCACTTGGCATGTTTTAAGGCTTGTCCATATTGTATAATGTATTACAACTTCCCTTTTTGTAGCCAAATGATACTAGATGTGTTGGTGTACCTCATTGTTTACTCCTTTATCATTTGGTTGGCTTTTAGGTTGTTTCTACTTTGTGTCTGTTATTGATAATACTGCTATAAACATTTGTTTAAACATTTATGTGGACAGATGCTTTAATTTTTGTATACTCCCTGGTCATATGGTAACTTTATTAATTACAGTCTAATCATCCTTACCTGGTTCATATAATTATGTATTTAACATTGCAAGGCAGTACCAGATTGTTTTCTACAGTGGTTATACTGATTTTCATTTGTACCAGCAATTAATAAATCCTCACCAATGCTTGCTATTTTTCTTCATTTTGATTATAGTCATCCTATATTGGGTATGGAGTAACATCTCATTATGATTTCAATTTGCATTATTTTGAGTACTGATGATGTTGAATATTTTAATGTTTATTGACCATCTTCATATCATCTTTAGGGAACTGTCTGTAGAAAATCTTTACTCATTAAAAAATTGGGTTGTCTTCTTATTAAGTTGTAAGAGCTCTTTATATATTCTAGATAGAAGTCCTTTATCAGATATATGATTTACTATTATTTCTCTTACTCTATGAGTTGTTTCATTTTCTGAATGTTGTCCTTAGAAGCACAAATATTTTTAAGCTTTGATGATCTTTAGCTTATTGTTATTTTATCTATGAAAACTTTGGCTTAATCCACAATCACAAAAATTTACCACTGTGTTTCCTTTTAAATGTTTTAAAGTTTTAGCTTCTACCCCAGTCTCTAATTTGTTTTACATTGATGTTGTACATTGTATTTGGTAGGGGTCTAACTTTGTTCTTTTGCATGTGGGTGTCCTGTTGCTGTAGCACAATCTAATGAAAAGACTCTCCTTTTCTTTATTGAATTGTCTTGGTTCCTTTGTGCAAATTAAGCTAAAGAGTGTATTTCCAGAGTCTCATTTCTATTCCACAAGTCTATTTTATATTTTTAAGCTAGTACCATACATCTTGTTTCCTATAGTTTTGTAGTTAGTTGTAAAATTGGGACATCAGAGTTTCATGACTTCATTCTTTTCTTTTTCAAGAATGTTTAGCTATTCTATGTCATTTGCATTTTAATATCAACTTTTGGATCAATTGTTAAAATTAAAAAAAAATGTCAGCTGGGATTTTGATAGGAATTGCATAGCCTCTTTAGTAGGTCAATTTAAGTTTTCCTTGAATTTCCATAGATACTTTCTACTTTTCAGTGCACAACTCTTATGTTTTTTGTTAAATTTATTCATAAATATTGTATCTTTTTGGGTTATTGTAATTGTACCTTTTTGTTGAAATTCACTTAACTGGAATATTTTTGGTGTTCTGTTTTGACTGTCATTTCCATTACTCGATATTATATGAGATTCATGTTACTCCATGTAGTTTTAGTTTGGTCATTCTCATTGCTATATAGTTTTCTAGTACGTGAATGTACTACAGTTTGTGTAATTTATCTTAATATATCATGTACTTATTTCCAATTTTGCGCTATTTTGAATAGTGTTATTTTTGACATTATTGTACATGACTTTTGGTAAACATATACATTTGTTCTGGGTATGTTTTTAGGTGTGGAACTCCCAGGTCATATGGTTTTGAATGTTCAGCTATTGAAAGTACTTTACAAAGAAATTGTAACAACTTAAAGTTCCACAAGCAGTGTTATTTTTATACTAAAAATATACCACTACCACCATATGGTCTATCTTCTTCACTTTAGATATTTCCAGAATATGTAGTGTTATCTTGTTATTGCTTAAGTTTGCATCTTACTTATGAATAATGATGTACAACTTATTTTATTTTTTAATTGCCAATTTGGATATTATATTTTAAACAGTATTTCTTTAAGCGTTTTGTCCATTTTTCTCTTTAGTTGTCTTTTTTATACTTATTTGTAGGAGTAATTTATTTATTGTGGATATAAGTCATTAAGATAAMATAATACTAGCACAAATATGAAAAATAGACCAGTTATACAGAATGTACTATAAAACAGATGTTGCTTACATTGCAATTTAACTTATGAAAAACAGTGGCTCTATATTATAAATGGTCCTTTGAATAAATATTATTGATTTACTTGATTACCTATCTGATGTTATTTTCTCTCTGACACCATGTATAGATACCATCTCAGATGAGTTATACATCCAAATATGAAATATAAAATAAAACTTCCTGAAAGAATATAGAAAACATATTCATAACATTGGAAAAATTTTCAGAGTTCTTTAGTAGGACATAAAAAGCATTCATTTTAAACTGGAAAAAAGTGTTGTTGAGACCAATTAAACATAGTAAATTCTCTTCATTAATAGGCACTACTGAAAATGTGAAATAACAAGAGGTAGAGGAGGAGAGGGTATTCATAGTGTATTATTCGGCAGAGGATGTTTTATCCAGAATTCCAGCTATTTTAGATCAATTTTGATAATTTTCAAGGTCTTCCTTATAAATTCTCTGACTAGCTGGGTACAGTGGTGAATGCCTGTAATCCCAGTGATTCAGGAGGCTGAGGTAGGAGGGTTACAAGTTTGAGGCCAAATTTGACAAGGCAGTGAGGCTCTTTCTCAAAATGAAAAATAAAAAGGGTTGATGATACTGTTTAGTGGATAAACACCCCCAGGCTCAATCCTTATTACCAAAAAAATAAGAAAACAAAAATATACCTGCCTTATGATAGAGTTAAAAGTATCTTTGCCTTAATTTGATTAAGTCATTAGAGGTTATCAAGGTGAACATAATGGGTTAGATACTTATAGATTTTGAATCAACTCCTATATATTGGAAATTGCTAATCTAAATTCTTTAATTTTCATAAATACCACATACTTATGTATAATTTGAGGATAGAACACATTAGTACTTTTGTTAATTTTTGTTTGTAATATAACTAGAACAGTACAACCAATTATTTTATTACCTAAATACTACTAAATTCTGCAAAAAATCTTAAGTGCCAAAAGACTACAATAGATACATTTAGTAATCTAAAATTAAATTTTACATCTTTGGTTCTCAAAATTTATTTGGGTCACATAAGATTAACTTGGTTAATAAGGTTAACTTGGTTAATAAGATATATTAAGGATTGCAGTAAAATATTAACATATACTCTTAGAAAAATTCAACCCAGCAAAGCTGTTGTATTTGCTAAGAGAGATATTTATGAAGTTTAAGTTGCTTATTGCATATTTACTTGATTTTAATAGTCTAAGAACTTGATATAATGTTAGTTAATTTCAAGAGTTGGTTTTATTTATATTTAAATAAACATATATACATATATGTGTACATACAATTGTAAATATCATGTAGGTGTGATTATAACATTTTGGTAAATTATTTTTGGAACTCTTATTTAAATTTTAAGTGAGCTCTGCCCATCTTAGTAAAAGCTAACTTGTATAGAACTAGATAATTATCATGTACCATTCATTGTGATTTAAAATTTACTTTATTGATTTCTTTTTTCAATTTAAATAAACTTTGATAAAAATATGATTTTAGAGAAATAATTTTTATTTGACAGACTCTAAACATTTTCCTACTTTTATGTAATATTATTTTTTTACCTATTTCAAAAAATGTATGGAAAAGACTTCTGTGACAGCTGTATCATGTTTTTATTTTGTTGCTCTTGAATCAACTGTCGATTTTAATGAATCCTGCCTAATTAAAGTGGTGTGCATATTTTTCACCAGTCAATATAATCAATTATACTTTTATATAACTGTATAGATATAATTTTTCTCAGGATGTTGGAAGGCTAATGTAATTTTTTAATGTGTTTCAGAATTGTGAGAAGCTGGAAAATAATTTTGATGACATCAAGCACACGACTCTTGGTGAGCGAGGAGCTCTCCGAGAAGCAATGAGGTAAGTCTAGGTCACCATAGCAACAGTCACAGATGTGGTAAAGAAAAAGTCATTCTTCATTATTGGGGGAACAAATGAGTTCATTGCCACCATTCAGCTCTGTTCTCTAAGGTATTAATTTGTCAGTGGAGAGACTTCCCTTGAGGCTGTACTTTGGTTTTGAAGCTGCATAAATGTTAAGCCTCAGTGCACAGTAAAAAATGTAAATGTTTAATTTGTTACTTAAAATGCTTAAGGGGTGTCTTGTTTTATATTTATACTAAACTGTGTGATTGAATGAAAATATTGTTCATCTAAATTCTGCCTGTATATATAWAAAAATAAACATTGTACAATGGTGGCTTAACAGTATTTCCTTCTAATTAATATTTAATTTAAAAAGAGGTACTTAAAATTTCATCTTCTATTAGATTGTATAGGATTATATTATAGTATTTTTAAAGTGATTTACATTTTCACACTATTACAAAGCATATAATTAACTTCTTTTCAAATATACTGGTCTGTAATGAGCCTGATTTTTTTTCTTTTTCACTTCTTAACATCACTATTTTTGAATATTTCTCCGAAATCCCCCAAACTGGATGCCTTTTAAATAATTTTCAGTGAAGCATTCTTTCAAGCCATTTGATCAGAATCCAAAAGGAGTATTTTCTTTCTTTCTTTCTTTTTTTTTTAACTAGAGACTAAAAATGTGTGAGTAGTAAGACCCATCACCCTTAGAGTTGGAAAACAACAAATGATACTGCTTTTAAAAGTTCTGAGCTTGAACCTTTGGGATTATTTACAGTATTTTTGTAAATAATTGAATATATTAATCTTTATTTTGTTTATGAAAATAAACTTATTTTTAAAATATATTTTCTGATATTCTACTGCTCATTTTTTTATGATTTTAAGTCTAACATTTTTTAAAATAAGGGAAAGAACAAAGCTAGGAGACTTCCTAGTGGTTTTGATACAATTTTGTTATTGCTCGCACACAGTTACCATATACTTTAGTTTAGAAGCTGCTCTCATTTAGCAACCTTCCTTTTACCATGCAAGCAGCAGGAGAAAGTAATTAAATTTAATAGAAGCTGCCCTCATTTTGAAGCCACTTCTATTTAAAACCACAGGGGGAGGTAATTAAATTTAATGGAAACAGTAGCTTCTACACAAAGATACATGGTACTTCTGTATAGATGATTATGATGTCACAAAAAGAGGAATAATATATTACTAGTACTGAGAAATTACCAGCTGGAGCAAGGAAGCCTATTTTATTGTTAATGTCTTTACTAATAAAAAAGGGGAAAAATAAAACTGAGTACACAATAGAGAGAATTTGTATCTATATAAAACATTCTCAGAAAGTTTAGTTATTGAAAATAGTCATAAATTAAAAATAAGGTCTAAAATATATGTGGAAAGGCTAATGCAGAAATTATGAATGAATTTTCCTGTTTTTCAATAGTCTTTATTCTTTAAAACTACCACAGTGCTATAAATTGAACATTATTCTTTGCAATGCTTATAGTAATGATTCTGAATACATTAAATGTGCCTAACAATATTTATTTAGAAAACTACAATTATTTCCTGTATTTTTATATCTATTCATTTTGAAGTAAATGCAAGGACAAGAAGACAAAGAGGATGACAGCTCTCATGCTTTGAATAAAAGAACTGAAGGCCAAAAACATAAAAAGAATTGAAAAGGGGCAATGTGAATGAATGTGGATGTGAGTGAGGGAAATATAATGAATGAGGAAAGGACATGTAATCAGTGTAGGAGATTTGTCATCTAGAAAAAAACAAATTAAATTATAGAAGAACTGCATATGAAGAGATTATTAAATTCTGCCAAATTTTGCAGTATATACCATTTTAGAACATACCAGAATGTCATACTTTTAAAAAGAGTAGAGATGAACTGATGAGAAGAGCAAGTATTAACTACCTAGTTATAGTAACCTCTCAACCAACCAYACTATGAGAGAAAGCTGTAGTATAGACAATTTAAATCAGAATTTAATTACATGGCTGTGAAATATACTTCTTTGCACAGGTTGCACGTTTACACAGGTTGCACAGGTTGCACTTAGCACACATGCTCATGTATTTTTGGTAATGTCTGGATAACCATTGAAACAGTTTACTAACTAATAGTATTTAACAATTTAGTTTACTGTGGGTCAGACTCCTTATTTTTTGAAAATTCAGTGAGAGATMATTGTTTTACCTGTGAGATTCAAGATTCTGAAAACAAACAAGTAAAGAAAATATGACATGATTAATAAGAGGAAAAATTCATGAAGAGACAAAAATTAATTATTCTGTTACCAGTGGTCAGTTTTTCCTTCTATGAAGGATTTCTGAATTGAAAAAAAACACAGGGTAAAAAAATTTGACCTAATTTAAAAAGATGGACAGTTTTGCAGGGTGAGGGAATAGTGTAGATTGAAGGTGAGGAGGCCTGTAAGTTCAAGATGTATTTCAGAAACAGCAAGTAGTCTAATGTGATGGAGAACAAGAAGTTTTTGAATCTTATGTTTTCTCACAAAACTCATTTAAGTGGAATTTTTCTGTCAATAATATGTCTCCTTATATACCATGAACCTGTGGAGTGGCAATGGAGCAGTAGAAGGTTGACAGGGATGGCAGGGCTAACTCAGCATCAAGTGTAGTAAGGAAGTGACTGCTGAGACAGGAAGGGATAACTTGCCTAAAACCTTAGCACAGGGGCTGGTCTCAGGAAGCTGACGGAAAATGTGTTTGTTAATGTATTCTAGAGGCCAGTTACATATCCGACTTGCCTTTACAGATAATTTAAATTATTTTGAGGAGTCAATGTGTTTTTTTAAGGATAGGAATGACCCTGTACTCTTATAGCTCTGTAAAGTTGGAGTACAGGGAGAAGATGCAATGTAGGGATGGAGATGATGATTCATTTATTTAATGAATATTACTGGATATCTGTAACCCCAGAAAGTTTACATGTGTGAATGATGCAGCCCTTGCCTAGCTGAGCCCCAGTGGAGGAGGTAGATAGGAAGAAATCCAGGGACCCAGAATTTGAGTCTTTCTCTTGGTTCTGAATCCTAGGTGACAGCTTCTGTCTTGGTCCATTGGGTTGACATAAGTGGGCTATGGGAACATCTCCTTCTCTCACTAGTTTGATCTCTTCAGCAACCTTTGGAAAGCTTTGCATCCCATGGTGGTGCTCATGCCCTGAGAATGTCTAGCCAGGAAGAACTAGAGCAGAACTGGACTGAATTTGAAGATTAACAGATTGTGGTTCCTGTGTTAGGGCCTTTCACCAATTGAGCACCTCTTTATCTATTAAGGTTCTGTTATTTCTATGAGTTCAGAAAAGAAAAGAGAGGATTCTGTCCTTGCTCAATTCTCTGCCACCTCATCTAGTCTCTTTTTTGGCTGGTCTGCCATACATTCTGACCCTGTTTTTTTGTTAGTATCCCAGTGCACGAATCATTTTGGATCCTTCCCATGCTTCCCCGATCCCAGATGTGAGGATATGTGGAGCCTGGAGTCCTGCTATGTAAAAAGCACAAGGAAACTTTCCCTGGAATGTGCTGACTAGATAAAAAATAAATGTATTAACCGAAATAGGGAGAGAGACAAAAAGAAGAGTAAAAATGAAGATGATTTTGGTTTTCAGATGAATTTCTGACAGCTAAGGTAAACCCACATGTAAATATTCCATAGGCAGAGAGAAAACATAATTCTACAACTCAGGAAGAGGATGAGGAATGATGTCTACTTTTGGAAATTGTTAGTATTTTGATACTTCTTGTTGCCATGGGAAGCCAGGTGATTTCAAGAATAGTGCATCAGGTTAGATGCCTGATCATCATCTCTCACCAGGGGAGTTCTCATCAGTAGAGAGGCCAGAGTGAGCTAAACCACATTCACACACATCACACATTTACACACTCTCTTCTTAGAAAAATTAGAATAAAAGGCAGATCCATAACAGAGTAATGAATGAATAACCCAAAATAACATGTGTAATGTGACATGAAAGAGATAAAAGATAAAGCAATCATGAAATTCATATGGAAAAATAAAAGACCCAGAATAGCAAAAGCAATTCTAAGCAGGAAGTGTGAATCAGGCGGTATAGCAATACCAGATTTCAAACTATACTACAGAGCAATAATAACAAAAACAGCATGGTACTGGTACCAAAACAGGCCGGTGGACCAGTGGTACAGAATAGAGGACACAGAGACCAATCCACAAAATTACAACTATCTTATATTTG